TGTGAGTTCCTTTATGAATTCTGTCGATGGGACCAGCAGATAATATAGCTATTACATCACTGGACTCCCACACAGTTGACCACAGTTCAAGTCCCAGACCAGGTGACTTCAAAATTATGCTGGGAGCATGTGCATGCGTGTCCAAGATCCAGGGAAGAGAATGGAGGAGAAGGTATTGTGGCGTAGCCATCCCCACTGGGGGTGACCTCTCACTTTCCCTGTCACTGTCTGTCTCTATCTCTTCAATGAGCACACGTGCCACAAAAAAACTCTCAAAAAAATAAACAGGAATTTTGTTGACGTTCTTTTAAGTGGAGAGAGCTAAACTCTCTATAGGCCTACTGAGTTAACTCAGAGGTACACTGGAGTATAAAGAAGTGATACAGGAAGGTCCACGCCCCAGGGTTATTCTCCAACTATAATTCCGGGATTTCAGCATGCTTCAGCATTATCTAGAGGGCTTCTTAAAGCACGGTTTGCTGGGTCTACCCCCAGAGTTTCTGATGCAGTGACTCAGGGTTGAGGCCTAAGAATTTGCATGCCTAGCAAGCTCTCGATTGATATAGATTCTGCTTATAACCATGTTTTGAAAGCTACTGGTCTCAAATAGGATCAGCCAACTAGGTCCCAGGTCTCAACAAGCCCACTTCCTGTTTCAGGAAATAGTTTCATTGGTGCACACCCAAGCCCGTGTATTTCTGTATTGTCCAGGACTGCTTTTGCATGACACCGGCAGAATTGTCACTGCCACAGAGATCAGAGGTTAAAGTATTCATCTACTGTCCAGTCCTTTAGACAAAAATATTTGCCAACATTTGTTCTAGAGTAAAGTGGTTCAGGTAATTTGGGAGATCAATTAGCCTTGGAAAATACCCATAATTAGGTTAACCGGGGCTTGATAAAAGGTGACAAGAACGCGGATGTCTAGCACTCACTGCTATTTCTTCAGATCTTGTTCTTGTCCATTTATAAATGTGCACATTCTTAGCGTGAGTAATTAGCTAGCTGTAATTTTAATAAAGAATTCTATGGAAGGTGAGTAGAAGCGATTTCACGGTCTTTGTTTTTCCAATGCAGTTGTTGTTGTCTAATATGAGCTAAACTACCTGTGATTACTTATGATAGCCACCATTTATTTTGTAAGTCTTCATCTCAGAATAGTGAGCCTCAACTCTGCACACGTGAGCCACACATGGGTCACTTTTTGTAGAGTGCTAATGTCTGGACCCTGCGTGCAGAGTTTGTTATTGAACAGATGAAAGACCACAGATTCTTGGCTTGGCTAAACATTAGTCAGGCTTCAGAAACCGTCTCCCACGTCCATGTGAGCAGCTTCTCGTAAAGTCTAGTTTTAGAAAATCTACCAAGA